TCACTAACGTATTTTACAGTTCGACAATCGTACAATACGTTTTAATACAATTGGTTTCTTTTAATAGTGGCAACGTTTATCGACTCAACAATCTAGTGTAAATTCTTCCGTTTTAGGTCTCAAAAAAGCGCCCCCCCCCCCCCATCTAGGAAAAGCTTCAAAGCAGTTTTGCCGGTCACTGTTTCTTAAGAGTATATGTTTTACATTAAGAAATCAAGGTAGAAAACAGTTAAATCAGTATGTAAAGGCGTGTAGCCATTACATTTTTTAACTTAGACAGTTTATAATTCAAAACTGCAGCATAAAATCAGCTTTAAAAAAATTTTCCCACCCCTTTTGGCGCCCCCATAGGGTCGGCGCCCGGGGCGGCCGCCCCCCCCCGCCCCCCCGCCCCCCCCCCCCGCCCCCCCCCCCTAGCTACGCCTCTGTTCAACAGACTAGACTTTTATAGCCTGAGTTGTCGTGTTAAAAATTCGATTTTAAATTCAACCTGGGTTTGTTTAAATTTAATCTCTCTAGATCTATAATACAAAAATAACTGCTCAGGTGATATTTATTTAACTTGGTTTTTCTATCAAATGGTTTGTGAATTAAGGTGACCCCCGTGTCTGAAATTTAGTTTTTTTGTTGTTTTATTACATACTGAATTATGTCCCTTGAACCAAATGGCTGTTTTGAATGAGTTGAAATGTTTGTATGGTGAGATCGATGATACTTCAAGCGTGAACGTGTTTGATGTTGTCCATGTTGTAAGGACAGAATCTGTTTACGTTTTGTGTTTAATCACTTTTTAATGAATGCTGGTGACAGTTGTCTAAGTCTAGCAAGAGGTGTCTATATTGGCGGACAGGTGTTTACATGTTTATGTATGACCGGCTTGGTTAGAACATTACACAGGTGAGTGGATTGTAGGTGAGTGGTATGACGTTTAATGACAGGTGAGTTGATTGTAGGACGTCTAATGACAGGTGAGTGGATTGTAGGTGAGTGGTATGACGTTTAATGACAGGTGAGTTGATTGTAGGACGTCTAATGACAGGTGAGTGGATTGTAGGTGAGTGGTATGACGTTTAATGACAGGTGAGTTGATTGTAGGACGTCTAATGACAGGTGAGTTGATTGTAGGACGTCTAATGACAGGTGAGTTGATTGTAGGTAAGTGTAGGACGTCTAATGACAGGTGAGTTGATTGTAGGTAAGCGTAGGACGTCTAATGACAGGTGAGTTGATTGTAGGACGTCTAATGACAGGTGAGTTGATTGTAGGTAAGCGTAGGACGTCTAATGACAGGTGAGTTGATTGTAGGACATCTAATGACAGGTGAGTTGATTGCAGGTGAGTGTAGGACGTCTAATGACAGGTGAGTTGATTGTAGGACGTCTAATGACAGGTGAGTTGATTGTAGGACGTCTAATGACAGGTGATTTGATTGTAGGACGTCTAATGACAGGTGAGTGGATTGTAGGACGTCTAATGACAGGTGAGTGGATTGTAGGACATCTAATGACAGGTGATTTGATTGTAGGACGTCTAATGACAGGTGAGTTGATTGTAGGACGTCTAATGACAGGTGAGTGGATTGTAGCACGTCTAATGACAGGTGAGTTGATTGTAGGACGTCTAATGGCAAGTGATTTGATTGTAGGACGTCTAATGACAGGTGAGTGGATTGTAGGACGTCTAATGACAGGTGAGTTGATTGTAGGACGTCTAATGACAGGTGAGTTGATTGTAGCACGTCTAATGACAGGTGAGTTGATTGTAGGACGTCTAATGACAGGTGAGTTGATTGTAGGACGTCTAATGACAGGTGAGTTGATTGTAGGACGTCTAATGACAGGTGAGTGGATTGTAGGACGTCTAATGACAAATGAGTGGATTGTAGGTGAGTGTAGGACGTCTAATGACAGGTGAGTTGATTGTAGAACGTCTAATGACAGGTGAGTTGATTGTAGCACGTCTAATGACAGGTGAGTGGATTGTAGGACGTCTAATGACAGGTGAGTGGATTGTAGGACGTCTAATGACAGGTGAGTGTAGGACGTCTAATGACAGGTGAGTTGATTGTAGGTGAGTGTAGGAAGTCTAATGACAGGTGAGTTGATTGTAGGCTGGCGTAGGACGTGTAATGACAGGTGAGTTAATTGATTGTAGGGCGCCTAATGACAGTTGAAATGATTGTTGTTAAGTTGATAGTTTGTTAAGCGAATATCGACCACGACAGATGAATGAAAATGAAAATAGTTTTCTGACATTTGGCATGTAAATTTATCATAAAGGATGAGTTAGATTTTGTGACTCGGTATTTGAAATTCGAACTAATTCGATCAGAGAAAATTATTTACATAAAAATTGTAAAGACGCCATGACGGAGCACATTATGCTCCGCAACGTAAGAAATAATCGATGGATTTTATCTCAAGTGTTAAAAAAAATTACATTGGATTTTTTGTTATTTAAAAAAAAAAGTAAAGTATCGATTACAGCGAGATATGTAGGTTAGTTGCTAGACTGCAAACCCGAAAATCTGGAGTTCGAATCCGGGTTCAAGTTAGTAGAACGTCTCTGAGTCCACCCAGCTCTTATGGGTACCTGACATAAGTTAGGGAAAGCAAAGACGGCTGGGCATAGTGCTGACCAGACTATCCATTCATATGCCGAAGTTTCGATTTGACATATGTTTATAAACCTGATGAGTCTATATTATATTCAAAATGGGATCTGGGTTTCTATATTTCATTGGTTTACCCACTCTATGGCTATATATAGAATCAGTCAACAATATGAGAAGTTTTAACTTCTTAGCTAACGTGTTCATTTCATGTCTCTTATTTATTGGTCTGAATGGGACGGCCTAGCGGTAGAGAGCTAGACTGCTTACATGAGAATCTCAAGTTCGAATCTGTGTTGAAATCAGCGTCCACGTGTCCCAGCTCTGATAGGATCCCTAACAACTTATGCTCTGATTTGATATATGTATGTGGCCCTAATATATTTCGATGATATATTTGGGTTTCTCTGGTATATTTAGGCCCTTGTAACATTGGAATGTACTAGCTACAGTCTAGAACTTATTCCCACCAATTCTCCCAGTGCTGAAGGTAAAGGTTGCCGCCCCGTGGTCAGGTCAGTGTAACCTGACCCAGATAAAACTTGTGTGGTGGTCTAGGTATGTCAGTCTTTTATTCTAAATCTAATCCGTCAAGTTTTTTGTAAAAAATTTTTTTACTGCTGGCGTTTAAACACGGTGTTTGATCAGAATATGTTTGTTTTGTATACCATTATTAGAGGGGAGCGTCGTTATATGTTGGAGGTGTGCTGTAATCTGTTGGGGGTGTGTCGTAATCTGTTGGGGGTGTGTCGTTATCTGTTGGGGGTGTGTCGTAATCTGTTGGGGGTGTGCTGTAATCTGTTGGGGGTGTGCTGTAATCTGTTGGGGGTGTGTCGTAATCTGTTGGGGGTGTGTCGTTATCTGTTGGGGGTGTGTCGTAATCTGTTGGGGGTGTGTCGTAATCTGTTGGGGGTGTGTCGTAATCTGTTGGGGGTGTGTCGTAATCTGTTGGGGGTGTGCTGTAATCTGTTGGGGGTGTGCTGTAATCTGTTGGGGGTGTGTCGTAATCTGTTGGGGGTGTGCTGTAATCTGTTGGAGGTGTGCTGTAATCTGTTGGGGGTGTGTCGTTATCTGTTGGGGGTGTGTCGTTATCTGTTGGGGGTGTGTTGTAATCTGTTGGGGGTGTGTCGTAATCTGTTGGGGGTGTGTCGTAATCTGTTGGGGGTGTGTTGTAATCTGTTGGGGGTGTGTCGTAATCTGTTGGGGGTGTGTCGTAATCTGTTGGGGGTGTGTCGTTATCTGTTGGGGGTGTGTTGTAATCTGTTGGGGGTGTGTCGTAATCTGTTGGGGGTGTGTCGTTATTTGTTGGAGGTGTGTCGTTATCTGTTGGAGGTGTGTTGTAATCTGTTGGGGGTTTGTCGTAATCTGTTGGGGGTGTGTTGTAATCTGTTGGGGGTGTGTCGTAATCTGTTGGGGGTGTGTCTTTATCTGTTGGAGGTGTGTCGTAATCTGTTGGGGTGTGTCGTTATCTGTTGGGGGTGTGTCGTTATCTGTTGGGGGTGTGTCGTTATATGTTGGAGGTGTGTCGTAATCTGTTGGGGTGTGTCGTTATCTGTTGGGGTGTGTCGTAATCTGTTGGAGGTGTGTCGTAATCTGTTGGGGGAGTCTTCTTAAATTGGAACAATGTCATATTCGGAAGGATGAGTTCAGTATTCTGTTGGGAGGAGCGTAGTGATTCGTAGGAGGGGAGGGGTATAAAAATATCTAAAAGGGGATGGGGTTCAGTATCTGTAGGAGGGGATATGAGTCAGTAAATGTAGGAGATGATGGGGGGGGGGGGTCAATACCTATAGAAAGAGATGGTAATCAGTTTGTATAAGAGGGGATGTGGGTGAGGATCTGTATGAAGGGGTGTCCAGAACTATATCTTTTATGACAATTTGTACTCGACTCACACTGCAGCCTTAAATGTAGCCCTAGCCCAACTCACTTCAACCCAACCCAACCCAGTCCAAAAACAACTCAACACAAATAACCAAGGAGCAACATTTTTCTGTTATTTCATTCGGAACCAAAACATTGTATAGCTCTTTTTAGATAAAATATGATAATGTTCTTATTTTTAATTAAAATCTTTATCCCCAGGGTCGGGTTCAGGGCTTGTAGTCGACCAATCAGCGTTCACCTGTAGAACCACGCCCACCTCTGGAACCACGCTCACCCAGTGACGATGGACCTCGACCAGCTGACCGTTCTCCTGGGCGAGTTCGGGCCCTACCAGCGCCAGAAGTACTTCCTCATGTGCCTCTTCTCCACGGTCTCGGCCTTCCACGCCCTCAACATGGTCTTCGTGGGCGCCGAGCCTAAGTTCCACTGCCGGGTTCCAGACCTGTCCAACACCACATTACGTAACATGTCGTCAGACGATGTCAACATGTCGTCAGACGATGTCAAAGCCGTGTTCCTCCCGAAGGACAGTAAGTGTCATCATTATGACGTCAGCGGGATGACGTCGTATCTGGAGAGCATCGATTACAACGTTTCAGCGGTATCGGCTGCTGCGAATAATGTTAGTCAAGTGGAATGCCAGCGCGGGTACGATTTCTCTAAAGACGAGTACACGTCAACGATTACCTCTGATGTGAGTATTCTTGACGTATTTGCTCTGATGGTTATTTTTTAGTCTCACTCATACAAAAAACAAAAAATCACGGCTAGAGTTTGGTTTATGATTAATAGTTAGTAATGATTAGTTTCCACCCAATTAATAGAGACTCATTACATTATATACATTAATTAATGACAAAGCGTTAAAGACCCGTTAAACCATGATACTATCCAGAGAAATGTATATGGAGTAGGTCCGACTTGTTTACAACCAGAGATTGTCCAGACAGTGGTTCAACATATGTACAATCTTTCTATATCAGACACCTTCATCCTCCACCGTCAGACTTTACGAACACGTATTACTACCCCTCCCCCGCCACTAAATAACAAACACATTTCTCCCCTCCCCCTTCTTTCCTAAACGTTCTGTCAGCAATAAAATTCCATGTGTCATGTATGATTGCACTTGCTTACTGTTAAATAACGCATTTCATATTCGAGACTTGGTGCTCTGTAAAGTTCCATGCTCCATATTAATACATCCGTATCTGAGACGTCTGTTTTTAATTAACCCCAGTTGTTGCACATAAGAAAAGGTTAATTAACTTGTTACAAAGACCCAGTTCTGTCAGACATAGGCCCCAAACTCATTGTTGTCTTATAGGCAATACGTCTCTTTCATTTATACATGTTTTTTTTTTACGATATAACGTAAACATGGCATATTTTACCTTAAGATAGTTTCGTTTTGTTTTGTTTACATGAGCAGGTAATTACGACACACACACACACACACACACAAAAGCTAGTTTTGAATTTTATTGCTGTTTTGTTACTGAAAATACCGATAACATATACCATGTCTAAAACGTCAGACAAAAAGTAATATACGCCAACAATGAGAAATTTCTGGGCTAATCAGTGGTGTCACCCGGTGCGGGCCAAAATATACTCGGCCTCACTATTTAAACTAATGCTAGTCACTTATTAAAGCTGAGTAGGCTCAGAGTGGTGACAAGAGAGGCGAAGATATGTATCACATTAAGCACAGTGTATTTTACCCTGGAATCGTCGGGAGAGCAGTCTGTTGTAGCTATCTCACCTCCCGCCACCCCCCCCCCCCTCCCCCCTCCCGTCAAACATCACCCCGACCCCTCCCGCCCCAGACCATTTCTACAATGTACATCTTGCACCAGTGAGAAACAATAAAAAATTCTGCAGGAGAAACTACACAACACGCCGTGTGTTCTCCTAGCAATGTCGGCCAAAACACAGTTCTATAAATAGAACACCACGTGACACATTTCTTTTGACATAGACTAAGCATTGTTTCTTCCAGACTTTTTTCTCCGGAGGGGGGGGGGGGCACTTGAAATTTTCGGGAGGGGGGGGGACGACGACACTGTTAAAAGTATATATTTTCTATTTAAATTCCATTCCGTTCGGGGGGACGGTAGATGCCTGAAAGAAACTCTGATAGACAATACAGAGCCCTCACAACTTCGCCTCCACGTGGCTGGGTGGACGAATGCTCGCTGCACAGTTCGTAGTTCCTAGGTCAAATCTGCACGAGTCGGCACGTGGTGAACATTAGAGTTACCCAATTTTGATTGTGCGTTAATAACAATAGAGTTACCCACCTTTGCTTGTACGCCGCTATCAGTTACCCACTTTAAAATAAAACAAGTAAAGATCCCGATAGTGTTAATAACAGATTTATAGGTGAAATAAAATTATCAAATAAAATAAAATTTTGGGCTTTAGTAAAAAAAAATCCTGTTGTCAGGACCCCACGTGTAGAGAGGGTCAAATCTCACAACGCATGGTCGCTTTTTTGGTCATGGGGTCGACGTAGTAGTTAATTAAAAAAATTAAATAAAGGTTGTCCACTCTTGTCTCTAGCCAACTTATGTTAATCAGAAAACGTGTCTTATTTTTTATCGAAATTAACCATAACTCTTTTAGAAAAGGGTGATATCCTTTTCTTTAGTTACTTCCCTTTATATACTATTCAGTTATGTAAATTATCAGTGATATATTAAAAATATAATACTTAGCTGCGTGTTTATCTGATGCCCATAATCATTTGTGTGTCAAAACAGTTCACATATTGTAACATCGATTTTTAACAAACCACAAAAATATGTTTCGAATATAGTATTGCTAAGAAATTGTTATCTAAATTGAATTAAAAGCAGAAAGGTGGCAAAACCTTGTTAACATTGACTAGATGCGATACTTTATCAAAGTTAATAGAAATAAGATTTTGGCTCTTCAGGGCTTAAGTGTCCATCTTGTCCTGACAGTTTGACCATGTCCATCTTGTCCTGACAGTTTGACCATGTCCATCTTGTCCTGACAGTTTGACCACGTCCATCTTGTCCTGACAGTTTGACCATGTCCATCTTGTCCTGACAGTTTGACCATGTCCATCTTGTCCTGACAGTTTGACCATGTCCTGACAGTTTGACCACGTCCATCTTGTCCTGACAGTTTGACCATGTCCATCATGTCCTGACAGTTTGACCATGTCCATCTTGTCCTGACAGTTTGACCATGTCCTGACAGTTTGACCATGTCCATCTTGTCCAGACAGTTTGACCATGTCCATCTTGTCCTGACAGTTTGACCATGTCCATCTTGTCCTGACATTTCGACCATGTCCATCTTGTCCTGACAGTTTGACCATGTCCATCTTGTCCTGACAGTTTGACCATGTCCTGACAGTTTGACCATGTCCATCTTGTCCAGACAGTTTGACCATGTCCATCTTGTCCTGACATTTCGACCATGTCCATCTTGTCCTGACAGTTTGACCATGTCCATCTTGTCCTGACATTTCGACCATGTCCATCTTGTCCTGACAGTTTGACCATGTCCATCTTGTCCTGACAGTTTGACCATGTCCTGACAGTTTGACCATGTCCATCTTGTCCTGACAGTTTGAGCTGGTCTGTGCCAACAAGTACTGGAGGAGTACGTCACGCAGCGTGTTCTTTAGCGGCCGTCTGTTTGGTGCCATCGTCTTCGGTCAGTTGTCGGACAGGTAGGTTCAATCTTGGACAGGTAGGTTCAATCTTGGACAGGTAGGTTCAATCTTGGACAGGTAGGTTCAATCTTGGACAGGTAGGTTCAATCTTGGACAGGTAGGTTTAATCTTGGACAGGTAGGTTCAATCTTGGACAGGTAGGTTCAATCTTGGACAGGTAGGTTCAATCTTGGACAGGTAGGTTTAATCTTGGACAGGTAGGTTCAATCTTGGACAGGTAGGTTCAATCTTGGACAGGTAGGTTCACCACAACCTCATGATAGATATTAAATACGAAGTTTGACCTGACAATTGTTGTTGATGTTGCAGATTCGGCAGACGTCCCACTTTTCTGATCGGAGTTCTGTCCCTTCTGATAGCAGGCGTCATCGCGTCTGTTGCCCCCAACATGTTCGTGTTCGTCCCCATGTACTTCCTGCAGGGGGCGGCACACACCGGGGCGTTCCTGGTGGCCTTCACTGTCTGTGAGTCCAAACTGGTTCTACATTTTGTGTCTGTGTTGGGGACAGGAAGGATGAGAAGCGGAAAACTGTTGCACTGTTTTTAGATTGCGCATTTTTCTGGGAACCATTTGTGTTTATTCGTTGTTTTTGTGAAGAGGGGGGGGGGTGTCCATAATTTTGTGACGGTTTGTGATGAGGGGTAGGGGGTGCGGGGTTCAGATGCTGTGACGTCAAGCTTTTGCATTATAAAAAAAAAACAATGTCAGAAAACGTATTTTAGTAGTTATTTCGAGTTTTAGAAAACTGTTTTAATAAATTATAATAGAAGTTGATTAAAATACTCTATGTTGACAGATTTTAGAAAAGCTTTTTGGCAAAATATCGATGTTTTAAGAAAGATTCAACTGCAATTTTGAGGGGGGGGGGGGTGTGTTTATGCTGAGGTGTGACGTCATTTTAGAAGGGGGGTGGGGGTCTGGCGTTCGTGACGATGATTGACGCAGAGGAGGGGGAAAAATCGTCCAAAAAAAGCGTGACGTCCATTTATGGATGACCCCTAATTACAATTTTAAAAAAAAGTAAGAATGCTAAATAATACGGCTAAAATTCAGTTTCGAACATTATTTTTTAAAATATGAAAGTATTGTCACACTTTCTGAACCCCCCCCCCCTCCCCCCACCCACACAAAAACTCTTCAGGCATACAATATCAAACCCACCCCTTTAAAATTGACGTTGTTTAGAGACGACCCTAACCACATAAATGACGAAGCTAACCGAATCTTTGCATGTCCAGCCACAGAACTGGTGGGGCCCAGGTACCGGGTGGTGTCCGGCTTTGTCATCCAGATCTTCTACGGCCTGGGCTACGTGGGGCTGGCCGGCCTGGCCTACTTCATCAGGGAGTGGCGCTACCTGGAGCTGGCCATCACACTTCCGGCTGTCTTGTTTGGCGCCTACTGGTGGTGAGCGCACAGTTTTAACTTCCGGTTACGTGCAACCTGTTTTTATAACAAATTTGGGGACTGCTTGGTTAGTTCATGACCATGCCCAAAACTCCCGAGTTCGGATCTGTAATGATTCATTAGCTCTGGACAAAAGCTATGGAAGCAAATCGTAAAGAAAAGCAGGCTGAAATCTCCTTTCTTCTTCTTCTTTCGTGTTTCATGGAAGTGATTCAAGTATACTTGTCAACGTGTTATGCGCCATATAGGCCGTTGACTATGAGTTCAGCCTGCTTTTCGTTCTACATTTTCTTCACAGCCTTTGTCCAACCAAGAACAAACTACAACTTACAAGGCAGTATTTGTTTGATTTTGGAGTTGTCTCTCTTAGAAGAGCGGCTGTCCCCAGCTATCGCGTCTCGTCTGCCAGGGGTTTCGAACTCTAGACTTAGCAACCATGAGGTTTACCGCCTCGACCACGAGACCTCCTTTAATATTACAATTATGAACGAACAAGAAGAAACCTGTTGGTTTTGAAAGGTGTCAGAGGTATCATCGTGGATAGCAAGCGTATATATCTGTATCCAACAATGATTGCCACGGTTAGACTAGGGTTAGCAGAGTTTCTTCCAGGCTTTTCTTCGGAGGAGGGGGGGGGGGGCGAGTGCGGACCCCCCGGAGAAAAAAGACTGAGGGTTAGTGTGAGGGAGAGGTTCTGTACAAAGACAAAGACAACGCTAGAATTAGGGATCTGATTAGTAAAAACAAACAAGCTCAGCTGTAAAAACAAATCGGCATATTCCTAAATGGGCAGAGGAAGACATTGATGAATCTGTGGTTTTTTTTTTTAAAACACGGATAACCTCCAAAGAAAAATAAATCAATAAATACGTTTATCAAGGGAGATAATTCATGTAAAATGTTTTTCAAACCGAAGTCCCATGTTTATTTCATATTAATCTGTATTTCATTTAATACATAATTTTTGTAGAGATAGTAGTTACATTTTAATTTTTTAAAATAGTATGAAGCCAAACTCGCGTATTTTCTGTGAGACTTATCAAGTGATGAATTCACACAATTCGCATGCGCAGACGAATTTCCATTTAAAGTATTTGAATAGTTCCTGGTGTAGATGAACTAAAACCCATTACCCACGCTTCAAAGACAGAGAGATAAAATTTAAAACCAGTTTCCAGGTACTGAAGACTTCGCGACAGGTGGCGCTGGCTTTTGCTACGGTGAATGATTAAAGGCAGAGGGAGCTCTTCAATTAGAAGTTTTCAATTTAAGTCGTGTTGATGTCTTTCTGTGGATGGTAGTTTGTCTTTCTGTGGATGGTAGTTTTTCTTTTGTAGATGGTTGTTTGTCTTTCTGTAGATGGTAGTTTGTCTTTTGTAGATGGTAGTTTTTTTTTGTAGATGGTAGTTTGTCTTGTGTAGATGGTAGTTTGTCTTTCTGTAGATGGTAGTTTGTGTTTAGTAGATGATAGTTTGTCTTTAGTGGATGTTAGTCTTTTGTAGATGGTAGTTTGTCCTTTGCCGATGGAAGGAAGGCAGTTAGTGTTTAGTATATGATAGCTAGAACTTTGTAGAAGGTAGCTAGTGTTGTGTATATGGTAGTTAGTGTTTTGTAGAATGTACATGTTATGTCGATAGCATCTTATCTTACGTGTATGGTAGCTGATGTATTTGTGTTGTGGGTGCTAGTTGATGTATGTTTCTACAGATATAATCCAAATGACTTCACCGTGTATCGGAGGTTTATACATAAACGATGTTTTTCAGCATAATGTTGTATAACAAAGTAGCCTACTGAATCTAAAATATTTTAAAAGATATGTACTAAAAGAATATAATATATAAAAAAGATCTAGGATATATACTAAAAACTACTAAAGTCTCGTGTGATTTATCTAATAAAACAAATTGTTTGCATGTGACTTACCAGGTTGTTGCCTGAATCGATTCCCTGGCTACTGTCACGTGGTCGTGATGCCGAGGCTGAGGTCATCATACGTCAGGCGGCCAAACACAACAAGGTCACGCTGGAGGAAGAGTTCATGGAAAAGCTGAAGGAGGGGGCCCAGCGCAAGAGTGGGGAGAGGAACTACTACTTCTATGACTGTTTGAGGACCGTTCATATGGCCACCATGTCCCTCAATGTCTGGTTCAACTGGTAAAGAATCATCTTCAGACCTAACGATCCATTGGGCAGATGAAGTAGTTTTCGGGTTTCTTGACCTCGGCACTATGCCCATCCGCTTTTACTTTCCATAACATGAGTTAATTAGAGCTGAGTGTACTTTGGGACGTTCTACTTACTTGAACTTGATTCGAACTCGAGACTTTCAGATTAGCAGCCTAGTGCTCTAATCAGGTTTTCTGATAATTTCGTCTTTGATTCGAATGTATTCGAATGTATTACATCCATCGATATCTTTTTACCAATGCAATATTCGAACCGTATTCAACAACGTATTTGTTGGTCATCTCATGTCCATATTTCTCTCATCCTGGTTATCAACAAGTTGTTTATGGGTGGACAGAGTGGACAATCCGATGCCCAACCGTCTATCCCTATGATAAATTAGTCAGGGAACAGAGGGAACAGGAGGAACAGTGCCTGCTAAATAAATATACCCTATCCTGGCCAGCCAATAATCCCCTATCCTAGACATTTGTAGTCCACTATCCTAAACATCTTTAAGTCCATTATCGAGGTCATTAAACGTCCCATATTCTGGTCACCTATTATCCCATATCCTGGTCATGGTCACCTGCCCAGGTCTTGTAATGCTCCCCTAACCTAGTGACCAACCCCCCCCCTCACCCAACTCACCCAAGTGACCCAACTCACCCAACTCACCCAACTGACCTTATGTTCCAGGCTGGTCAACTCCCTCGTCTTCTACGGGATCAGCATCAACACGGAGAACATGGCCGGTGACCCGTACCTCAACTTCGGCATGATAGGAGGGGTGGGGATCCTGGCCTACGTTCTGTGTCTGGTCGTGGTCAACAGGACGGGCAGACGTCTGTCTCTGGTGGTCAGCATGTGTGTGGGGGGAGCGGCTCTCATTGTGGCCGGGCTGCTCTTCACTAACCTGGATGAAAGTGAGTCACATTGGGACAGATATAACACAGCGTGGCAGTTTCAATAATATAGCCCAGTGACAACGTGACAGATATGATACAGCGTGACAGTTTCAATATTAGAGCCCAGTGACAACGTGACAGATATGATACAGTGTGACATTTCAATATTAGAGCCCAGTGACAACGTGACAGATATGATACAGTGTGACATTTCAATATTATAGCCCAGTGACAACGTGACAGATATGATACAGTGTGACAATGTCAATATTATAGCCCAGTGACAACGTGACAGATATGATACAACGTGACAGTTTCAATATTATAGCCCAGTCACATTGTGACAGATATAATACAGCGTGACAGTTTGAGTAATATAGGACATTCTCAATTTTACAAATATAATTCACTAAGTGAAAAGCTACCACGAAAGTTGTTACTGCTTGTTATATTGTAATTGTTACGCTCAAAATTTAAACATTAGCTCTGAAATTCCACATATATAGATGATCTTTTAAAAAGCCCTGCAGTTTTTGAGCTTCTTGGATTGCCATTTATTGTGTTCGATTTTTCTGACCCATTGAAACCTAGTCCATCACATGGGAAGGTAATCTGTAGGACCCATTGAAACCTAGTCCATCACATGGGAAGGTAATCTGTAGGACCCATTGAAACCTAGTCCATCACATGCTAAGGTAATCTGTAGGACCCATTGAAACCTAGTCCATCACATGGGAAGGTAATCTGTAGGACCCATTGAAACCTAGTCCATTACATGGGAAGGTAATCTGTAGGACCCATTGAAACCTAGTCCATTACATGGGAAGGTAATCTGTAGGACCCATTGAAACCTAGTCCATCACATGCTAAGGTAATCTGTAGGACCCATTAAAACCTAGTCCATTACATGGGAAGGTAATCTGTAGGACCCATTGAAACCTAGTCCATTACATGGGAAGGTAATCTGTACGACCCACTGAAACCTAGTCCATCACATGGGAAGGTAATCTGTAGGACCCATTGAAACCTAGTCCATCACATGGGAAGGTAATCTGTAGGACCCATTGAAACCTAGTCCATCACATGCTAAGGTAATCTGTAGGACCCATTGAAACCTAGTCCATTACATCGGAAGGTAATCTGTAGGACCCATTGAAACCTAGTCCATTACATGGGAAGGTAATCTGTAGGACCCATTGAAACCTAGTCCATCACATGCTAAGGTAATCTGTAGGACCCATTGAAACCTAGTCCATTACATGGGAAGGTAATCTGTAGGACCCATTGAAACCTAGTCCATTACATGGGAAGGTAATCTGTAGGACCCATTGAAACCTAGTCCATTACATGGGAAGGTAATCTGTAGGACCCATTGAAACCTAGTCCATCACATGGGAAGGTAATCTGTAGGACCCATTGAAACCTAGTCCATCACATGGGAAGGTAATCTGTAGGACCCATTGAAACCTAGTCCATCACATGCTAAGGTAATCTGTAGGACCCATTGAAACCTAGTCCATTACATGGGAAGGTAATCTGTAGGACCCATTGAAACCTAGTCCATTACATGGGAAGGTAATCTGTAGGACCCATTGAAACCTAGTCCATCATATGCTAAGGTAATCTGTAGGACCCATTGAAACCTAGTCCATTACATGGGAAGGTAATCTGTAGGACCCATTGAAACCTAGTCCATCACATGGGAAGGTAATCTGTAGGACCCATTGAAACCTAGTCCATCACATGCTAAGGTAATCTGTAGGACCCATTGAAACCTAGTCCATTACATGGGAAGGTAATCTGTAGGACCCATTGAAACCTAGTCCATTACATGGGAAGGTAATCTGTAGGACCCATTGAAACCTAGTCCATCATATGCTAAGGTAATCTGTAGGACCCATTGAAACCTAGTCCATTACATGGGAAGGTAATCTGTAGGACCCATTGAAACCTAGTCCATTACATGGGAAGGTAATCTGTAGGACCCATTGAAACCTAGTCTATTACATGGGAAGGTAATCTGTAGGACCCATTGAAACCTAGTCCATTACATGGGAAGGTAATCTATAGGACCCATTGAAACCTAGTCCATCACATGGGAAGGTAATCTGTAGGACCCATTGAAACCTAGTCCATTACATGGGAAGGTAATCTGTAAGACCCATTGAAACCTAGTCCATTACATGGGAAGGTAATCTGTAGTACCCATTGAAACCTAGTCCATCACATGCTAAGGTAATCTGTAGTACCCATTGAAACCTAGTCCATTACATGGGAAGGTAATCTGTAGGACCCATTGAAACCTAGTCCATCACATGCTAAGGTAATCTGTAGTACCCATTGAAACCTAGTCCATTACATGGGAAGGTAATCTGTAGTACCCATTGAAACCTAGTCCATTACATGGGAAGGTAATCTGTAGGACCCATTGAAACCTAGTCCATCACATGCTAAGGTAATCTGTAGTACCCATTGAAACCTAGTCCATTACATGCGAATGTAATTGACTAAAGAGCACGATTGCCGTCTCCACAGCCTCGAAGATCTGCGTCCAGGTGTTCACTATGTGCGGCAAGTTCTGCATCACTGCATCCTACGCCATCGTCTACCTCATGGCTGCCGAGCTGTTTCCTACCGTTGTCAGGTGAGCTGTTGACCCCTAGTCAGGTGAGGCGTTGACCCCTAGTCAGGTGAGTCAGGTGAGGTGTTGACCCCTAATCAGGTGAGGTGTTGACCCATAGTTGACCCCTAATCAAGTGAGGTGTTGACCCCTAGTTACGTGAGGCGTTAACCCCTAATCAGGTGAGGTGTTGACCCTTAGTTGACCCCTAATCAAGTGAGGTGTTGACCCCTAGTTACGTGAGGCGTTAACCCCTAATCAGGTGAGGTGTTGACCCTTAGTTGACCCCTAATCAGGTGAGGTGTTGACCCCTAGTTACGTGAGGCGTTGACCCCTAATCAGGTGAGGTGTTGACCCTTAGTTGACCCCTAATCAGGTGAGGTGTTGACCCCTAGTTACGTGAGGCGTTGACCCCTAATCAGGTGAGGTGTTGACCCCCAGTCAGGTGAGGCGTTGACCCCTAATCAGATGAGGTGTTGACCCTTAGTTGACCCCTTGTCATATGAAGCGTTGACCCCTAGTCAGGTGAGGTTTTGACCCCTAGTCAGGTGAGTTGACCCCTAGTCAGGTGAGTTGACCTCTAGTCAGGTTAGATGTTGACCCCTAGTCCGGTCAGATGTTGACCCTTAGCCAGGTGTGGTTTTGACCCCTTTTGTGAAAAAATAGAATAGTACTCAGTTATCCCCCATTTTATGAAAAATCGAAGGAAGTATACCACCATCACCCTTCTCCCAACATGTCCACTACAAACAAAAGGAAGTCACTCATATTTATTGTTAAACCCTTAACACACAATTGTTGAACTAAACGGTGACGGTTACCTCCCTCCACAGAAACGTCGGGATGGGCGTGGCTTCCATGTCAGCGAGAGTTGGGGGCATCTTCGTTCCCTACATCCTTGAACTCAAGGACGTTTGGGGGTCACTTCCGCTCCTGGTGTTCGGGATTCTGGCCATTGTTTCCGGTCTACTAGCCCTCTTCCTGCCGGAGACAACCAAGAGGCCACTTCCGCAGACGTTTGATGACGTCAAGGACAGGAACCACGGGTACGTGTTTAAGATGGCGGCTGGGGATTAAGGTTTAGAGAGGTAAGGGTCAGTAGGATTTGACTAGAGTGGTTTTGGTAAATTCCTAGTCATCTATGGACGATTCAAAGACTCGGTGCTCGAAGTATAGGCGGGTGTAGGGCTAAATCACGTGGAATGATGCTGTACACCACGTGTGTGCTTGGGGAAGTGGCGGGTAGTTGAGTGGGTTAAGTATTTAGTAGGGTGAGGGTGGGGGGGAATTACGGTGGGGTGGAATATAATAGACATGAGGTGGGTGTCAGCTCCCATTTATTTAGCTTTACTCAAACATTTGCCAAGTTTTATTTTTGCAAAAGATCGTTAGAATATGATATCAAAGAGCAGGATACTAGACCTATGTCTACCGCAGGAATTAAAATGTGTACTCGAAAAAGTTGGTGGTAAATAATTTTAAATTAATAAGCGACAGGAATTCCCATAAGTCAGGAAAAGTGTGGGTAGGGAAAATGTGAGAGAAGGGGGGGGGTATATTAAAAACAAGTGTTTCTTCCAGACTTTTTTTCTCCGGGGTGGGGGGGGAGGAACTTGAAAATTTCGGGGGGAGGGGACTAAAATTTCCGGTGTGGGGGGGGGGGGGGGGGACACACTGTTAAAAGTATATATTTTCCATGCTAATTCCATCCCCCCCCCCTCGAAAAGATGCCCGGAAGAAAAAAAAATACAATGTTTTAATGTATTGATTAGAGTTGGTTACACGTGAAACCTTACAATCTTTGATTGTGATTGAGACTCTGAATGTCAGGCCCATTATGGGGACTGTACGTTCCTGATTCTCTTCTCCAATTCTCTCAGTCTCATTAGACCAGCAGCCTAATGATGTTTTTGTTGATGTAAACAAAACAGGTTGCAGTGCCGTTGGCTGCGGAAGTCTAAGACACACGATGTAACCTCTGACAAAGAACAGGAAATGACGTCACCCGGAAGTAAAGGAGCTGCGGATCACAACGCTCCGCAGAAAGTGTAATATAGATACCGTCTTCCTTTGGGGTTGTATACTGTTAAATCACATCATCCAATAAGCTTTAATTCATGTCGGGTGTATATCTCACACATCTATGTAAACATCTTGAATGAAATGTGTTGGCTTAGCATGGCTACTTATTGATTTTGATGCACATGTTGATTGTTAAGGGGTCATCCATAAATG